AATCGGATGGTCTTGATTGAACTCCGATCGATGATTTTCTGGCATTGGTCACACTCCTTAGAAAGCTTGGAGATAAAGGAGGCCATGGTGAATGGTTTTGACAAGAAAAGAATTTTCTGGGTTTAAAGATTGAGGAACGAAGACTTGGGAAAAAAGAACTGCGCTGGAGAACAAAGGCAAGAAATTTCAGGGAGATTTTGAAAGCGTAAAGTATGAATGAGGGATTTCAGTATTTATAGGATTTTGGAAGGAAGGGCAATCGTTCGAAATTCAAAATAAAGGGCAAAATCGACCAAAGGAATCACTGATCATGATGAACATTCAGGAAATGCAGTTGAGAAGACCGAGAGTCTCAGATTTTGGGGGCGCACGATTGCGTGTGATGGTGAGTTTAATGGCGAAAGATGTTTCGACGTCTGCATGATGACAAACGGCTCGCGGAATGAGGTAGAGTGGCTATGTTCAGCCATAAGGTCATGATGGCATGACGGTTCAGGTAGCCGCACGCCTTAGACGTCATTATTAGGAATTGGCCGTGTTAGAAGATGCCACGTGGCGAGTTGGTTAGCAGGATCAAGATCGTGCAATCGTGCTCAATAAATGCGCCTTGGAAATAGAGCACTAGGGTTCTGAGGATTACATTGGCTTCTTCAAGGCCGAAACTCAGCCAACGAATTCAGGCCGAGGACCTCAGAAGCGATGGGGCAATGTTTGGGCACAAAATAATAGTTTGGGCTAAGTATAGAATCATTCTCGGCCCGGAAGGCCTTGCGACAAGAGTGTCATGGATCGTTCAGTACGTGGGCCTCCAAACCTAGGTCGGCTAGGCATAACACAAGAAGTCGAAGTCCTAGTGCAATGAGGAGTTTCAGCAGGACTAATAACCCAGAAGCGAATCCGGCTCGACTAGGGAGTAGGTTCACAATCCTAGTGAAAATAGGATTGGTCGAGTTAGTGATGATCAGGAGAAGAAGACCTAGTCTGAATAGGGTTTTAACTCAACCTTGGGGGGAGCCGTTGCTATAAATAGAAGAGGCTGTGCATCATTCAAGCCCCCTGCAAATCAATACAAAACTGCCCTGCGCAAACTCTCAACAACTTGAGATTTTCTTTCTTTTTCGCTGACACATCTTCCGTTGGCATCAACAGCACTGTGGAAGCAACCGGTGATATCTTAAGTCGGCATAGATAGCTCTGTCACCGTAGAATCAGTCGATCTCGCAGTATCTTCCGTTGGCATCAACAGCACTGCGGCGAGAACGGTTGATTACCTACCCAAGTCTCGGTCGAGGAGGATTTCCGGATCCTTATTGACTGAGGTCATCTTATTAGCCTTCTTGGCAAAGTGAGGTGTTACGGTATATCGAGCTCGGCGCTTTGCTCGCCGAGTTATTTTATGATTGGATATTCCCAAGTGGGATTTAAAGTTCGGCATTCGGACAGCCGAACCACGTTCACCATTAAAACTTATATTTGCTTTGAGTATTTGTGCCCTTACACTCTGGTGTCGATTCGACGTGAGTTTACTCTGACGAATAACATCACTGTGATTGAATCCGACGACGACGACTCGTGAACTTCGTAAGAATAGTAACCTTGTCTTCAGGTTCGAGAGCCCAAGAGGCCAAGACGTGTTCCTTTCTCGGCTGCAATCGCAAGACGCAGAAGTCAGCCGCGCACCCAACGCAACATCAACAAATTTACTCCTCGGCCGAGCTCGGCCGACAAGTTGGCACGCCCCGCATTCACCGAATGACGTAGTTAGCTTATAGATTACTCGGCCTGCGCGCCACGTAGGCTTGGTAGTTTCTAAGGTCAACAGTAATATACTGGCTTTTGTTCCCTCGAGTCTTCTTGGGTGAGGGTTGCACTTATCGCACAGTCTAATATAGCCAAGTACATAGGTCTTCTCTATCACTATCAACAGGTTTGGACAACAACGAAGGTTTGGAGAGGTACTCGTTGAGTTTTGTGAAAGGAATCTTGGAGGTCTGGTGAGGTACTCATCCCTCTTCACCTTTCTTCTATTCTCTCTCCCCAGATCAACCTGCACCCACCCCAACCCAAACTACGCCACCTTTGTTACCTTTTTCACTGCCATTGCCCAAACCCTAAACCTCCAAATACAGACCCTCAATTTCACCTCGTCCAAATCCAAGCCCCTCATCTTCATCACCTATATCCGCACTAACCATATGTCTCTCGTCCCCGACGAGAAGATCGATGGCCTTGACGGTGCTGCTAAGTTCACCACCAACGAGGAGATTGGCGGCCTTGCGAACTCAAAAACGTGAACAAGGAGATTGGCAGCTCGAGAACCCGCCACCAACTTCATCCTATTATTTTTTTTTCTCACTCATGTCCTGGGTTAATGGCGACCAACAACACCACCACGCAGGTTGTGGGGATTTTGGGGGTGAACAAAGCGGTTGTGAAAGCTGTGCACAAGAGGTAAATAGGGCTTGTGATGGTACAGACGAATGCGATAAAGGGGAGGGTGAAAGTAAGAAGGTGGGTCGGGAAGGTGAAGAGGGTGGAGGAGACGAATGAGGTGGATTAGGGAGGTGAAGAGCGAGGAGTGGAAGAGATCAAGAAGTCAAAGAGGGATGGGAAAAGAACAAGTTTTTTTTTAATTTTTAAATTTTTTTAATATCCATGTGGGCCCATATTGACACATGACGCCCAATCATTGTTCACCTGATGCTCAGTCATTGTTCACATGGCTCCACATTATCAGTTAACGGAAGTTCAAACAGAACATTTAACGGATGTATGAAAGTGTCCCAAAATTATGACTTTAGATAACAGACTGGAATGAAAAATATTTCATGTATGAAATGTTGAAAGTAAGAAAAAAATCAGGATAGTAAATTGAGATTTAGCTTAAAAAAAACATAAATGCGATAATAATCCGACCTTATGCGTATCAAATATGAATCGATAAGTTGAATCCGGTGATCCGAGCTACAATTCAAATAAAAAAAATTCAATTCTCAATGGATCCCAATATGAATTGAGAGTAATTTGCTTTGAATTCAATCAATTTACAAGTCTAATAGAAACACACACTGCTAGGGACATTCAATAGTGGAGCCAGAAAATTTTTCTTGGGTGGGCTAACTAAAATTATTAGCATGTAATCTTATGAATTTTTTTTTTTGCCTACATAAAATTATATAGTAATCTACATAAAAGTAAGAACATGAAGTACTGATCCAAACAAGTTTATTAATTACTTTCCAACTAATTTTTACACAAATAAAACATGCATACAAAAAAGCAATAGAAAGAGAACAAATATTATCACTTTTGTTGATAACAAGTACCCAAAAGAAAAAAAGGTTAGGGGATACCAATTCAAGTCGTGCCGTAGATATATGGAATGAAATTGAAATCTTTTGTTATTATTAGAATCGATATTGTTGTTGAGCCCTTTTTATTAGTTACAAATACAAGAACCATGAAACATGGACTATTCCCGTAATCTTTAACCATAATAGACAAATTCAAGGACTAAAAAAAATTAACCTAACAATTGAATCAAGAAATAAGTTAAATGAAGACATGAAGAGCATACCTAGTGTTGAATTTCATTAGAAAATAATTTGATGGTGATTCATAGTTTTTCTTTTCTTAGGGTAAAGGGTTTAATTTTTTTGTTTTGAACGAATAGGGTAAAAAGCATGGGGAATTGGAGAAACCTAATTATGTATTAATTTACCATTTTTACTTTTAGCCTAAAAATAATAAAATAATATATAAGGTAATAAAAGTATTATTTATAAATTAAGAAACACATTAACTAATAATTTTGGCAGGATTTGGGTGGGCTATTATACATACAATAAGCAACAACAAACTCATATATAAACTATTATACCAGCAGTTTGTTAAAATCCTCCCTAGGCTACAGCCCACTGTAGCCGTGGGTGTAGCTCCGCCAGTGGGGACATTGAAAAGAATTCGAAACACTCGTAGGATCAAGTTTTTGTACGATTCCTTGTATTTTTTTATAGTTCAAATTATGATATTCATTTATAAAGGAATTTGTTTATCATTGTAACTAAATGTGCGGAATGCCCTTTTTCTTTTCAACTAGGATGAGATTTCCACCAAGATTTTTATAAAGGTCTATTATTTTGTAGGAGGTGGATTGTTTGCCATCCCATATCTATGTTCTTCCTATCCCCTTCTGTTTATGTGATCACGGTTAACTCACGTCAATATTTTATATATTTTTATTATAAAAATAATAAAATAAAAAGTAATAGGAATATAAAATGTTGACGTGATTTAACTGTGACCACACAAAACAGAATGGGATGGAACAGTGAAAATAAGAGGGCAGACAATCCACCTCCTATTTTTCCCATGTCCTTGTTATTTTATCACACACCCCAATGTCTAGTTGGACTCACCGGTGACCAAGGTATAAAATATTTATGATATCGGAAATATCGGTAATTCAAAAACACGGAAATTTCGATGGAAATATCGGGATATTATCGATATCGATAAAAATTGAATAAAAACCACGGAAATTGTAAGAAAAACTTGTAAATTTTTATTGAAACTTTGCAGGATGTTTATTTAGTCAAATATCTATTAGTTTATCACAAAAATTGGAAGGAAATGCATTGCATGATAGATATAACTGATTTAAGTTGATTATATAATGAACTAGCAAATATTGTGAGTGTAGAAAATATGTAGTAATTAATGAAAGAAGTTTAAACACACCATAATCATTTATATATAATGAATTAGTACAATATTTTACACTTTATACATTGCATGGTAAGATACATGAGTGACATAGCAAGGTCTAAAATATCAATGATATCGAAAATATCGGTAGTCCAAAAAAATATCGGTAATCCAAAAACACAGAAATTTCAAGAAAAATATAAAGATATTATGAATATTTTAGACTATGCCGATGACAACGAAAATCGTCACCTTCCCCTTTCCTTACAATACAGAAAAATAAAATATAAAAAAAGGTACAAAATAATTAGTAAATCAGAATTCAAACAGCTCCATGAGACTTCGATCGCGATCGAAGTAGAGAGCTTGCAGAGCCCCAAACCCTAACTCTCGACGATCGGAACCATCGATGGCGATACTCTACGCCGTGGTGGCTCGAGGCACGGTGGTGTTGGCTGAGTTCAGCGCGGTTACAGGGAACACAGGGGCCGTGGCTCGGCGGATCTGCGAAAAGCTTCCGTCGGAGGCCGATGCTAGGGTTTGCTTCTCTCAAGATCGATACATCTTCCACATACTCAGAGCCGATGGCCTCACTTTCCTCTGTATGGCCAACGACACCTTCGGCAGTGCGTAACGTATTTCCTTCAATTGTATTCTTCAATTTCGCTATCGGAATTCCATTTCTGTGTGTGTGGGCTTTATGGGTTGTGAGTGTGTTGGTGAATTTCTGTTGATCCAGGGAGAATACCCTTTTCGTACTTGGAGGATATTCATATGAGGTTCATGAAAAATTATGGCAGAGTTGCCCCTTATGCTCCGGCTTATGCGATGAACGACGAATTTTCGAGGGTGTTGCATCAACAAATGGAGTTTTTCTCCAGTAATCCTAGCGCCGATACTCTCAACCGTGTGAGAGGCGAAGTTGGTGAGGTAATTTTGTTGTGCTTCTCTGGAAGTTTGGTCATTAGGTTATTTTAACTCTAGTTGTTTCGCAATTTGCCCGTTACATTGGTTCGGGAAAAATAAGCGTTTCAAGAGAACACATCTGTTATTCGAAAGCAAGTCAGTTGGTGTTGCAACCGAATAATTATCGAGACATTCACAGATAGTTTGCTGTCTCATTGCACAAAATATTATACCAAAGCATTTAATTTATAGCATTCAAAGTTAAACGAAACTCTGTTCATTGCTAGGTTGATGTTTCATTCTTCAATGCCATTCTAGTTTATGCTTATTTTGTTCTAACGGCCACTTTCTGGTATCTAGATACGAACTGTAATGGTGGACAACATAGAAAAGATATTGGATAGGGGTGACCGTATCGATCTTCTTGTTGACAAAACTGCAACTATGCAAGATGGTGCATTTCACTTCAAGAAGCAGTCTAAACGCCTTCGTCGAGCTCTGTGGATGAAAAATGCCAAGCTCTTGTAAGTTATTTTGATATGCATATATGATATGATGGGGACTTGTAGACTTATATTTTGGAAGGAATTCACTGAAAACATAAAAGCCCATACACCCATAAGGAAAGAAGGAGGTAACAAAAAGATCATTTGAAAAGCTCTGAATTCAACACTAAGTAAAGAAAATCAAACATGAAATTTCTCTTTTCTGAATAATTTTTACAAGTATTTGATTGAGAAAGAAAACGCAGAAGTCAATTTTACAGGGGCAAAACAGCGGAAAGCTAATTGCAGGTATGCCAGTAATAGTGGTATCAATTTGCAATCACGAGCCCGAAATCAAAAACCTTGAAGAGCAAGATAACTCCTACAATAGTTGAAGCCACATTGTTGATAAATTAATGATCAAGAAAGCTTAACAAGTGCTAGGGTTTGAAAGTTAGGGAGCTCATCCTTGTCACCCAATTAGGTATGGACAACGGTTATGGCGGGCGGGTAACCACGGTTATTTACCCATAACCGTTTATGCTCATACCCGCATAACCGTTTACGTAATTGCCTAAACGGTTATACCCATACCCATAACTGCGTACCCATTTAACTGTAACCATTTAATTCCCGTTTACCCATTTACCCTTTTTAACCCGTTTATCTTTTTTTTTATTTTTTTACCATTACCCCATTTTCACCGTTCTACATGTTTTTTAATAACTTGAAAATTAAAAAAAATTGTCAAAATTTTTCTTTTTTTTGACAATTAAACATCATTATAGGTACATTAATCATACATTTCCGTATTTTAATTTTTTAAGTCCTTATACCATCCTAATAATTAAAATAATAGTTTACGGACGATATTTTTAACTGTTACCAATGAAGGTAAATATAATATTTGCTAAGTATTATTGGATTACAAAAATTGTTTTAGAAGACATTTTTGTCAAAGCATTTTTGTCAATTTCACGGTTACCCGCAAGAAATTTAAATTGATTTGGCGAATTCCTTGATGATGAGAATCATCATTCCTGTAGCAGTGTTATTGAGAGAATGACCGATGAATTCCTTGCTAATTTATTGGGTGCTAAGTATTATTGGATCGAGAATATGGTTTGTGTTAGTTTTACATATATAAAATAAATGGATAAACGGTTACCCGTTTATAACCGCGGTTAATACCCATAACCGCCCATTTAAATTTCGCGGGTAAACGGTCATATCCATAACCGTTTATTTATCTAAACGGTTACCCATAACCGTAACCGTTTAATTTAAATGGACGGGTAACCACGGTTACCCATAACCAATGGGTATTTGCCCATCCCTATCCCCAATGCATATGAATTTAATTTCGCAGTTGACAATATCATGCTCCAAGTTTATTATAAATCTGTAGTTTGTTATGCCCACTGCCTTCTTGAAATGACGTTTTGATTTTTATAAACACGAGAATCATTAAGTTTTGCGCTACTACAAATGTTTTTGAATGCTGCTGGATTTTTTTTTTCAATGAGTAAGATATTGACTTTATTAACAAGATCTAATATTTTGATTTCATAATCAACTCCAAAATCCCTGGGTGATAAGCACTAACTGCTTTGCCTTGCTGAACTGTATAGCCTTTGTATTTCCCATGTTATAAAGATACAAAAAACTACATGATATTATATCATGTTTCCATGCTCTGTTAGATTGGTATCGCAATTCCCAGTTCAGTGCATTGAAGGTTGTCTAATCCTTACAGGGCCCTGTTGACATGCTTGATTGTCGTGCTTCTGTACATCATAATAGCTGCTTGTTGTGGAGGCATCACACTACCTTCATGCAGATCTTGACTAATTCGATTCTTGCTCAAATTTCTGCTGAGGTATGGAACAATTACTTTGAGATTATTCAAGTCAATGTATACGGAAAGGGATTCCAGTGCTTGATGGTTCAAATTTTTTGTGTGTATATGGAAGTGAAATATATTATACCTTGCATTGTACCAGTGAATTGCTGAGATTTTTTCGGGAAGTCTGTCAAGTTCTTGCAGTGCTTCATATCATCTTTGTATTTTTTTGAAACACTATGGTTAGTAAATTATCATTGATTGTGAAAACTTAACTACTACTATTTACGGTCTTTTTGACGATTTCTAGCTGTAGATGGTATGCATATACCACCACGAGGTTCCAATATCTGTCGATAAGCTTCCACAATACGCATTATAATCCCTATCTATGTAGCATCTGATTCGTTAGTCGTGTAGGAGGTTGTTTGCATTGAGATGCCTAAATATTTGTTTGGTCATTGGTTTGGCACAAATTTTATTTACAAGGGATTAAATGACTGGTGGCTGTGCCATACAAACTTCTACCTACCTAGCTGAGGGCTGTTTGGTGTTTTCGGTTTTCATTTTTTGTTAATGCTTGCGCAATGCAGCACTTTGTTTATAAGCAGGCCCACGTATTCTTTTCTCCTTTGGTCGAAAGTGGCGAGTGATTTTCTAGTTAGCTTGATCACACTGGTACACTAAGTTTCATAATACAAATAAAAGAATGTTGAAAAATGTATTTCTTTCTCTACTTTATGAAATGTGGTGTGCCGGTTTGTATTCTAGGTACATGAAAAAATGTCGCATTGGCGGCAGAGGCTATAGGCCTTCGTGATGGTCCTTACGAATTTATATGGTTTTTATCATAAATAATCCGTGACATTGTCTTAACTCATTATTTTGGTCCTTCAGTTTTAAAATAAAAAAATTTGGTCTCTAACATTCAATGTTATACATCAATGTGGTCCTTCCATTAATAATCTGTTAATTTTTCGCACTGTTTTAAAAATCTCCGTCTAGTGCCATCTAGGCCCTATCTAGGTGTTAGGCGACTGATCACTGTCTTGATTAATGCCTAGGCGTTAGAAAATTAGGAAAATGCGTTTAGACTTGCTAAGGCGCCCGTCTAGGTTGCAACTTATTCAGATAAAAAATAGATAAATTTCATTTTACATTTTTTTTAATAAATTGTAAGATGCTTGTTGAGTACTTAAATGGGTGGTATTGGTATGATTACCATACCAAAACCCATGCACCAATTACCATACCAAACTTTGGGTATAACAAAATCTATTACCATTACTGTGCCAAACTTTTTGTATATCGAATTTCGGTATGCCAAATAGTTCGGTTGGCATCGTATGATATTGGTAATTACCACTTTGTTTTGTGTCATTCTTTTGGGCCAAAATTTGATTTTGTTTTTTTTTCAACCCAATTCAAGGCCCAAACGTGTTTTGGCCACTATCTTTGGGTTTCTAAAACTTTTTTATTTAATTATGAGAAATTATAGAGATTCATTTAAGAAACAAGAAGTAAATAGATGGAAGAATTGCTGAAAGAACCCAACATCCCTAAAAAAAATATTACAAAGATTTCTAAATTCCATCTCTACATTCTTTAAAATTGTACAAAAATTAACATGATAGACAAAGTCAGGGAGAAAAACATCTCAATTTGATGAAGGAGAAGATGAGATGGATTGCAAAGAGAGAGAGAGAGTTGTCGGAACAGGAGCAACATAGATGAAGTCGATGGCTAGATGAGTGAAAAGATAAAGAGTCGCAGCGCAAGAAAGCTTAGGTTTTTTTTATTGGGAAAGTAGAGGTTAGAGGGTGAGATGATTGGATAAATGACTAGGAAAAAAAATATAAAGTGCGTATATAATGATAATAATACCTAATTATATATATATATATATATATATAAATGAATAAATAAATGATATAATATTAATAGTAGTGGTACAGTACTGTATACCATTGGTAATGGTTTTGAATACCATTACCGTATCATTACCAATGGTACAAATTTTTTGGCCTAACTTTGGTATGATATGGTAATTTGGCAAAAAATTGCACCCCTATTTAAATGAACACACATTATATGCTTATTCCATATGTTTTCATTATATTCCAAAACTTCATAATGTATATGTCATTCTATTTTGTAGTTTATGATGAAATCATATATAAAATATATAAACAGACACTTATTTACATGAAATATAATAGATTTATTTAAATCCGTCTAGTCTGTCTAGGCAGGCCCCATCTAACCATCTTAGCGCTAAGCCTCAGTCCACCACCCGACTAGCGCCTAGCTTCTTCTAGTACATTTTTTTTCGTAAAAAACGCACATTGTGTCCCTAGTGACCTTTTAATGGAAAATAATTTTTGTCAAATCACCCCACCACTACTTAGTTCACTAGCTTCACCTTTTCTCTCCACTTTTTTCCCTTTTTTGTTGAATTTGGCAACAACATTTGTGATTGTTTCCCTTCTAAAAGCTAAAGCAAGGCCTTTTCCCACTTACAAAAAAAAAAAAAAAAAATAAAAATTGTAACAATAGTTCTTTAAAAAAAACTTAATTGGAGCAATACTCCATCAATTAAAAATTTATGATCATTGCCCTTAACTCATCAACATGTGCAGTTACAGTAATTTTCATTAACTTTGTCATAATTCTGTCAAAATGAGTCATCTTCGAATGACCATTGCTACAATTGAGTTAAGGTTGAGGGACCATCGCTTCAATTAGGTTAAAGTTGAGAGACCATTTCTTCAATTGAATTATAGTTGAGGAACCACTGCTACAGTTTTTCTCATCTGGTTTTCCATATTTACCCCTTGATTAAGTCTCATGTGCCTTGCATGTGACCATTTTGACGGAAGTCGTAGCAGGGTTGATGAAAACGACCATAGCTACATATTTTGATGAGTTAAGGAACCAATGATCATAGATTTTTAGTTGAGTAATCATTACTCCATTTGGATTAAACATAAGGAACTATTGTTATAATTTCCTCTACAAAAAATACCCAATCAAGTTAGTAAATGATTTTTTGCATAATGCTAATTTTACTGGAAAAATAACCTGAATAATAAAATAAGTTTGGTTAATTATAGTCCTATCCACACACCTAGTCATAAAAAATGGGAACTTTAATGAAAAGCTCCCAGTACTATTCACTTCAACGAAAAACCACATTTTAACACTAAAAAGTCAACCCTAATACTATTCACTTTACCCTTTAGTTTGTCCTTATCGTTAAAACTCAAAGTTTTCAATCATTTTCATTAGTTTTCCTTAAAAAGAAAAAAAAATCCGATTATATAACTTTGACCACTACCGAATTGACAAAATGACACATGTTCAAATACATTAAAAAAAAAAAAACCTAATGAAAATGGCTTGAAAACTTTGAGTTTTAACGATAAGAACAAAATAAAGGGTAGTGAATAGTATCAAGATTGACTTTTTAGTGTAAAAATATGGTTTTTTGTTGAAGTAAATAGTACCAGAAGTTTTTCGTTAAAGTTCTCTAAAAAAAACATCTGTTAACTTGCATATCTCATTGTAATAGCATTACCATAATAAAAGAAATATCCCATCGGTCACAACTGCATGCCCATGCAATTCCAAAAGCATTAAATAAGAACGCCATTTAATGCTAAAGTTTAGTGGTATTCATTTTCACTTATAAGTAAGAGGTTCTAGATTCGATTATCGTAAAAAGCGAACCTTAAACCATATTATTACTAGCCCGTTATGAGGCTAAGTCCACCCCCTCTCTCTTAATCACAATATTGCTTGTTAAAAATATTATTAAAACAAAAAACAAAAACAACAAACATCACATGTGTTTCGAATGCAAAAACAAAAAAACGTAAATATTTGGCCACTTTTCAAAGATGTGCAAAACACAACCAAGCTGCCAAATTTTCACCAAATCCTTCAAGGCTTCCACGACATTCCTCTCTTTACAAGTGACGTGAACATTTTAGGTATAGATTGTGACTGAAATTGGTGCTTGGGTTCGGGCTATCAAAAGTATAGGCAAATCATGGAAAGACGATAAAACTCACTATCTTTTGGAGGCTTTTTAGATTTGCAAAATTTCTCTTGCATGCTCACAATTCACCAAAATTTACTCATGGTCCACCAAAGTTTAATGACTCTTCACGAGTTTCATAGTTTGAATCCTAATCTAAGCATAATTGAATCTCCCTCGCCAAAATCCCCAATTGCTAAGTAGTGGCGGGTGGGGCGATTTGACGAAAAAGCCCTCCTCCAAAAGGCCACATGGGTCGTCATGTGCGTTTTTAACGAAGAGTTTGATAAATTATTGGAAGGATTACATTGATATGCAGCATTAAATGTCAGGGAATAAATTTATTAATTTTGAAATTGAGAGATCAAAATGATGAGTTAAGCCAATGTCAAGGATCAATTGTGATAATAAAAAAAAAAATTTAAAAAAAAGAACCCAATTTACAATGGTGACATATTTCTGGATCCTCGAATAAGAAGTGCCTCACTCAATGTCGCATTGGGCAAAAATGCTAGTTATAATAATTAGGAATCGAAGTCATCATTTACAAAAAATCAAATATAAGTTATCTCACGTAAAGGAGCTAAAGATGCAGTACTTGATTATACCTTCTAATACCTACATGTATATACAATGTACTTGATTAGTTTATTCTTCCTACCTGTTTTACAATAGGAAGTGATTTTTCACACATTCCTTTTAACTTTTCATACACATTTTAATTTTTAATTATCGGATTGAATGAATCAAATAAAAATTACAAACATAATTAAACAAATGTGTGTAAAAGATTAAAAAATGGCGTGTGTATATCATTTCCCCTTACAATACTGAACTCAATGCAAACGATTTCATTCGTGTTAGAGTTTTAGAATAATACAATATAAAGAAATTATTTCATCATCAAAATAAAAAGAGGAAACTGTAGAAATAGTAGGTGAACTTTAACCTAATTGAAGTAATGGTCTCTCAATTAAAAATAAAAAATCCATGACTATTGGTTCCTTAACTCATCAAAACATGCAACTATGGTCATTTTCGTCAGCTCCATTTGAACTTTCTCCAAAATGAGTTACGTGTCACGCATGTGAGGCTGAATCAAGGGGCAAATATGAAGAAAAAAAATGAGAAAAATTGCAACAATGGTCCCTCAACATTAACCAGTTGTACCAATAGCTGTTCCGACATAACTCATTTTTATCGAATTCTAATGGAGTTGATGAAAATGATCATAATTGCAAGTTT